TAATTTTATGATGAAGTATGGTAATTTATTATTTTAAGATATAGTTAGTTTTTTAGTATTAAGAATTGTTATCCATTTGAAAATTGAGTGCAAAAATTGAACTTAATTATTTTAAATCATCAATAGTAAATTTTTCGATAGTATTGAAATAGTTGGTAGTTTCAGGTGTGATAAGTTGTGATTAGTAAAATTTAATTTAATCTTTAACTTATTTAGAAAAGTGTTGGATTGTTTAAAGAAAATCTTATTAAATAGTATTGATTCTACTTAATAGAAACTAAATATAGTTTTAAATAGATGGTTGTTATGTAATTTGAATCATTTGAAGATGATTTAAAATTGTTTAAACATCAAGAGTCTAATTTTAAGTTTAAGGGCATTTAGGACAAAACATTTGAAAGTCTTCATTAGGTGAAGTAATTAAAGTAATTTAGATGATAGGTAATTGATGAATATGACATAAAGGTAGGTTAGTTTAATTCATAGGAATGAAAATAAAATAAAATAAATAAATATAATTAATATTTACATAGAATTTGGAATGTTAAAATTGGTACATCCTTCATGAATATTTTTGAGTTCAGTTTCGTCATTAAGATATCAGAAGAGAATTGTATGAATAAGGTATCTTAGATCATACAAGGATGTCCACAATGATCAATTCCCTAAAAATAGATTAATAATAAAGAATGCAGTTTTTAAAATTTGCAAGAACAAGTAAGACCTAAATATCCTGATTGTGTAAATAATTTTTATCCTTAAGAATCTTTAGAATCATAGATAGATGATACATACAGCATCTCCATTATATTATGAACAATACTCAACTAATTTAGTTGGGATATTGGTTAATCCATGATGATGTTCATAAATCCATTTAATAACTGGAGCCATAAATTATGATGCAAGTACAGTACTATCTCCAATATCATTAGTAATATGATTTTGGAAATAGAAATCATCAGTCGAATCAACAATAGGTTTAGGTTATTTGTTATATTCAAATTGAAATGGAGCCATTTTATGTGCAGCATAAACAATAATCATAGGCACACCTGGATGTTCAACATTATTAGCTTTAGGTCTATTAGTTCATCAAGATAATCTAATATTTATATTTGCTTCATTAGACTTGATATTGTCATTAATAGCTACTCTAGTTGATTCATCAGTAGAATAATTTAGTTTATTAACTCATTACATTCTATCAAATATTTCTGACATCCATGATTCATTTCTAAATCTTATGAATGTATCTTTTGGATATAAATCAATTATACTAGCAGAAGTAAATGCATCTTTCTTTAAGCATACCAATTTATACAATATTAATACTTTAAACATTAAACTATCATCTCCACCAACTTATGATTTAATGTTTTAGTTGCACTTAATAATGGTCCAGCTATTGTTACTATACCAGCAACTTTATTCTTTCTCTGTTTAACTCATAATATATACTGCTTCTGTTGAATGAAGTGAACCTAAAGAACGTCCAAAAATATATGTTTTCTTTCCTGTTAATCTATAAAAGGTTTCTACTGATTTTTTATATATTATTAAGATTCAAGAGCTGCTATAGATTTTCTAAAATCATAAGGAGCTGCTTGCATTGTTAAACCTGGTATATAACCCATATTTTTAAGTGTATCTGAAAATACATGATATCCTTTTGGATCGCACATTGCTGCCTTATAACTAAATCTGTAGGAATCTCTTAAATAGCTGTTATTCCACATTCATTATCCTTTGATTTAGGTGTTTTACCAGCCCATGTTATTTCTATTCTTGGAGCTGCTGTATATCTTTCTATTGGATTTATCATAATATAGTTCAATAAAATCACCAAAACATTTATCTTTCTTACTTGTCATCGCTATTGGAAATGGACTACTCAATGTTCCTATCCACATCCTATATTCTTCACTTGGTTTCTTTAATTAAAATTTAGATGCACTACAAGTTTACCAACAGCAATTCTCAAATATATCTGGTCTCTTTGTTTATAATAATTCACAATCTATCTTTACCTATTTAATTTATATTATTTCTTTATTTATACCTATTATACAGTACCTATTAATCCGGTACTAATATTGCTGGTTAACAAGAACTATTTATCAATTCATTAATGTATGTCTATAAATTCATTAATGTATGTCTATAAATTCATCTTTGTATGATCTTTTCCATTTGTACACACATTTGCTGTGTACTCTTCAAAATAATCTTACATTCCCTCTTTACGTTATCTCTCCTTATTTTTATATATCTCTTCATGATAATCTCTATATTTTTAATATATCTCTCCATTTTTGCTCATATTATAATTATGGTTTCCAACTTGGATCAAATCCACTCACTCTTTTCATACTCCCATCTATTGATACTATAAAGGTATCCCCCTCAAACCATGGATTATAATCTGTATTATCAAGATAAGGAACTATTGATCATGTCCCTATTGACACTATTGCGAACAATTACTTTATCATTCAAAAAATATAAATACTCGTATGATGTTATATTAAATGATATCATTCAATTATATATCATCATTTTATTTACGAGAACATATAATTTCATTATCAAAGAATTTTTATATTTCTTTTTATATCAAATCATACTATCTATTCTTAGTCTTACATTTCTCACAATCATATTACTTAAAATTTACTCTATTTTTTATTATTCATTCATTTTTAATTGTTCTATTACATTTTACACTATACCCTCTACATATCCGCACTTCACTATTTTCTAAATCTAATTCCTTATTTCCATTTACTTTTATTACTCCCTTTCTCTTTCCTCCTTCTAAGTATCTATTTAACACTTAAAAATATCCTTTTCATCTTCTCCCTCTTTCGTAAACTAATTTGTTTAAAAAAATTCATTTTATAACGAATTATTCTTAACTAGACTTATTTCATTCACTTAATCTGTGGCTAAAATCTATACTGCTTATTATTAGAAATTTTAAACATTAGCATTTGGATTAAATTAAATCTACTGACTCACTTATTAAAAACCCTACTCATTTAAATTTGTAGCAGTCTGAAATTTTTTCTAAGAACCTGTGCTCTATTTAAACATTTATTATTAGTAGGGTGCCTGCTACCAAAATGGATATTAAGCTTTTTATTATTAAAATGGTTAAAATGAGAATTATTATGACTATTAAGGTTATAATGTTGCTGATTGTGGTGGGTTTGGAAATTAATTAAATTATGGCTTTATTGTTCCAAATTACATTGGCGTTGCTACTGTTTAATTTGAAGCACGATATCCAAATTAAGCTGGCAAATATTATTTCATATCATTCCTAAATTCATTATTTGCTATAAATTGCGTGGCCATCGTTTATCTCTATTATACTACATTATTTTATGGTTGTTTCTTATCTTCATTTAAAACCACACCCGAACTTTCTATAAATTATTTCAAATCTCTTTTATTCCCTTCAATTACCTAATAGATAAATTATTTTATATTTTCAGGAATTTCTTAGAATTATTGCTTCTTATCTTATGGGATTTTTAACCTATTATTCGTATTGTTGAATAACTTTTGTGAAGAAAAAACCTCAAACATAACACATACAAAAGCAAATATGTCAATTGTCTCATTTTATTCTGTTTCATTTAATAATTCTTAACTCCAATAAGAACTATCCCCTACTCTATCTAACTTATCCTTCATGATAAAATGAACTGTATGATTTAAATTTGTCAATTTAAATTTTCCGTTTACTTAACAAATATTTTTTGGATTTATATCTCTATGTCGATAACTTAATTAATGAAGTTGATATATTCCTTAAGCAATATCAGTACAAACTTAAATTTTTTAATCTCTAACCAATTGATTATTATATATTTGATAATCTAAAAATTATTCCTATTTTATATGTTCATAAATTATATATAGGTAGCGATTTTCTTGATATATAAAAAAATCTAAATATCTTATAATGTTATCTTATGGTTGTTGTATCAATTCATCCAAGCATCTCATCAACTAATCACTATATCTTAAGAGTATATCACAAGAAATTCTTCTTTTTGATCCATCTAAATCTTACTCTTCTCCTTCATATTTATAAAAATCTTGATTAATTTTTTATTCGTTTGTGAGTTAATAAAGTGATCCTTTTTTGGAAGGGCTCTTAACAGATGTAATTATCTAATTCTATTATGCATTAAATAAATAATTCATTATATTATTATTGTTATAATTCAAAACTAATGATAATGAATAATAGGAAGGTACTTTTTGAATACTCAAAATTTGATCTTTGGGTTCACTCTCTAAAGATTTCCATATACAACCTTACACATAAATTACTTTTAAATAGTGTTGTAACTATTCACTTATACAATTTTCTAATTTTATTGGAAACATTGCAATTGGTAATTGAAATTATTTTAATATAATTTCAGGTGTACTATTCAATACATCCAAGCTTTTAATTTCTATTCCAAACGCCCATTTTCAAATATTTCCGATAGATTCTATCATATATCTAACCAAATGAAGTGTTGAGTCAAGGAAAATTAGAAATTTAGTTAGCACTTTTGTATATTGTAATTCAAAATCACCTATCAAGGTATTCGCAATATAATTACTTACGATTACATTGATGATTGTAATCTTAAGTAATTTGAAACAACAAACTACATTTTATATATACTCATATAGGCTCATAGCATACTTTGGAGTATTTTTCAATATTGTATTACTGATTCCATTCACAAATGTTTACTTTTCCATACTCTATTGTGTGAATTCAAATTTTGAATGTTATGTTGGTGCTTATTTTGCTCATTTTGTATTTTCAGTAAAAAATATTAAAATATTTAGTTCCTTGGGTTAAGTATGCATTTAATTTAAATAATCTATTTTAATTTAGTATTTTTAGAATAGAACCCCTTTTCAAGTATACCTTTTGCTAGTCCTTAGCAAAGTGCTACTTTAATAAAACAAATAATAAAAATTGTTTTACCAATTTATACTATTTTTGATAATGAAGGATCATTAGACAGAGTATTCATATCATTATTATGTTTATCATATATTTATTTAAATATACAAAGATTTAAGTAATCAAAATATTATAATTATTGGGTTACATATGCTATTTTAATAGAGGAGATTACTCTATGCTGGATTACACTTGTTAGTTTTTTTACTGCATTTATAAATTATAATAAAGCTGAAGATATTGGGTTCTTTTATATGATTATTGGTATTCCTTTAGTAATACTTGTTTATTTTCATTTATTGCATTTATAAAACAAGAAAGTTTTGTCAATTTTATTTAGAAATATAGAAAGAGATATTGAAGCTGAGATATATTTGATAGCCATAATAAACCTGATAAAGCAGAGAAAAAAGACATGGTCAAGAATGTTATTGGAAGGAAAATTAAGATTACATTTCAAAGCATGTTAAAATAAAGAATGTATTTGTAAAGCCTTGATTCTTGAGAATATTAAAGAGGAGGAAATAGATTTATATTGGTACAAATTTTTGGGATTCTTGTTAAATTAAATGAAAGAGAAGTTCTATAAAAGTTGTAGAATAAATCTTTTATATGCATTTTTATTGAATGATTAATTGAATAATCATTTTAAAGCCTTAACTGAAATGATGTTTGCTGAAGATAATAAACCATCTATGTAAGAAGAATTAGCAATGTACCATTATAAAAATATAATTTAATAAAAATTAAAAGATATGGAACAGAAAACAAATGAAAATAAGGGTATAGATGTGAATGGAATTATGGTGTTTCAAAATACATTCATAATATTTTTAAATGCAGTAGAGAAAACTGTCAATTATCACATTGAATATTGGCGGGAATTACTTGAAATAAATCCAGACATTTTAAAATTGAAAGTAGTTGGATCAAAAATAACAAAGAAATTAGAATAAACAATGATTTAATATTAGAAATTACAAGAGTTAAATCCTAATCATATAAAATTTTTAACAATATATGGAAGTTTTTTAAAAGAAATAGTAAATGATGAGGATGAATCAAATAGAATTTTAGAGAGAGTTTAGATTTTGATAAAATAATTTTAGAATAATAAAATTCATGATTAAATTAGATTGAAATATGGAGAGAATGCAAATACATGTATAATAACATGTTCAGGCAATTTCAATAATATGGGTGTAGTAACAAATTGTAATAATGAGATTACACGTTTATTATAATTTAGTAAGAGTGATATAATGGGAATAAATATAAATTGTATAATGCCAAAGATATATGCAAGTCATCATGATTAATATATGATTGATTATATAGATTCAAGTAAACCGAAAGTAATGGATAAGGAGAGAATATTATGTTGTATAAATTAATAGTAATATTTGGTACCTTGTTCTTTGATGATAAAGATATTACCAAATTTAGATGAAGGTATAAAGATGGTAGGTTTCTTATAAGATTATAATAATTAATAAGAATCAAATGAAGAATGGCATTATATATTAGTAGATGGTTATTCTTAGATAATATTAGGTATCACATAATCATGCACATAAATATTTGGAATTCCATAATCAATAATGACAAATAATACATTCAGATAGAAATTTACATTCGATATTCTATTTCCAAATATTGAAGAGAATTAAAACATGGAAGATGGAATATTCACTTATTTAGATACAACTTAATTATAGGAAGATTATTTATAAGGTATTGGAGAGAGTTAGAGTGAGATATCTATTGATGAAGATGATGATTAATTCTGTGAATTTCCTAATGATCCATTAAGAAGTTCAAATGACACTAGAATATAAAGATATTTATTAAAACCAGTTCAAGTTAAGCAGTAAGATTAAGTTTCAGATACTCCAAGTCCATTATTTAATAGATTTTAAACTGTTGATTTTAAGAAAAAAAAAAATGAAAAATTATAAAGATATAAGAAATATAAAATTAAATTGGTTTTATGTGATGAACTGAAAATAGGTGAATGTAATTTATAAACTATTAAATTTATGTTGATCAAAGAAGATGAATAGAGTGAATAATTACTTAAATAAGAGTCTGTTAATTCTAAATAAAACTAAAATAATTAAGAAAATAAAATTAGTGACCATTTATAACCTGTTATTGAAGATGGAAATTCAAGTAGATCATCTAGAACTGAAAATAATTAAAAAGAATTAAAAGAATTTAAATAAATGATATCATCAAAAACTCAACCTAGATCTATTATTATATTGAAAAGAACAGTTTGGTTTATTATGATTCTTTTATTAACTCTCAGTACTTTGATTATGGCTTATAGAGTCATTTAAAGTAATGATGTTAAGGAAGCTGTAAATGCTATCTATTAAGGGTATTATAGACATAATATCATATCTGATGTTGTTTATAATGCTCGTAAATTATAATTAATTTATAATAATACTTTTGATACTAATTTATCACTTGCTAAATCGGATCTCTAATATTGGGTCAACTCATTACAATAATTATAATATGACTTAATCAATGTTAGACTTATTATGGAAAATAGAAAAGGAAATAAAATATAACCTTAATAATATTCTACCAAATTTTTAATGTCAAATGGATAAGAAAGTAATTAAGACTTACTTTTTGATGATGCTATGATGTATTTCATTACATCTGGTTCATAATTAGGAAATTCTACTAATGAATCTTTTATTTAGTAATAAAGTAGTGGATATAAGAATTTTTACTTTCTTATTAATAATGGTTATTATGTTCTTAGAAATGGATCAGAAAATATAGCTAACAATTTCTATGAGTTTTATTCCGATCTCATTTAAGATTACTTAATTAAATTCCTAATTATTATGATTATTGGTATAGCCTTCTTAATTATTTCCTCTTTAGTTCTAATTCCAATTGTTTCATAAGTTCATGATACCAATAATAAAGTGTTATCTCTTTTTGGTATTATACCAGTTAATGAATTAAAGGATTTAGTAACAAAATGTGAACAATACTTAAAAAATTTCTTAAATGAACAAGGAGATTCTAATAAATACACAAAAGTATAAGAAGCATAAATTACACAATAAAATATTATTCATACATCTGCACATTGTGAATAACCATTAGTAAATAAGGAAGTTTAAGAGAAATAAGAGAGTAATGAAGATGATGCTAGTAAATTAATACAAAAACCTTAAAAGTTATTATCATCAGGACATTAAAGTATTAGTCATGTTAAATAATTATCTAATTTAACTTCTGATGGTTAACCTTAAATTCCAATGCCTATTTCTTAAGGTCCTACTAAACATGATTTAAAACAATCATCAAAAAAATAGTAATAAAAAGAGGAAGAAAAAGATGAGGATTAAGAAAATTTAAAAGCAAATAAATTACTCAATTCTTAAGGAAGTCATAAATGTGCTGTTACTGTTTAATTTATATTCTTTGCTCTTTTGTTTATTTCCTATTTCATTTTAGATATAATCTTAGAATCCTAATTCCTCGAAGAAACTCAAAACATTTTTGATCATCTCAAAAATATTGAAGATAGACCCTTAAATATCAAATACTATATGTATTTATCTATTGATCAATTACTTTTAGAAGATTCTACTTTTATTGAAACATATAAAACAATGTTTCAAAATAGATAATCAGAAAATGAAAGAAACATTTCAGTCGAAATCTAATAGTCTCATCCTTCATAGTTTGATTCATATTTCTCTTTATTAGCTGATATTTCTTTTAATAATCTATGTAATTATCCTTTTACTGTTAATCAGTTTACTTTACTGACCTCAACTTGTTTAGAAGTATAAGCTGGACTTTTATAACAAGGATTAAAAACTACAATTGCATCAGTTGCATTAACATCTAATGATATGCTAGCAAAATGGTTACTTAGTGATAAAACATTTGATGATCTTACTCATATTTTAAAAGAATATTATTAAAAGCTAGATACTATTATATAATATGTATCCAATTGTTGTTATTATTTAACAATTAAATATTAAGAAGCAACTTTAGATTTTCTTCAATATTCAGAAATGATAGAATAAGTCAAATTTTCAGTATTTCTAATTGTAATGTTCTTTGTGTTCATCTTTTGCATGACTCAATATTAAAATAATTTAAGTGAACAAATTTGGGAAACAAAGGTACTGATATTCCTGATTATTTCAGGGTTTGTTAAATATGATTCCTCTAGAGATTATAGCCAAGTACTAACATCTGAAGGAACAATTTGTTGGAGGAGAAATTCTGAAAGCTGTTTAATGATTAAATAGTTAATAGTTAATCACTGCAATGATAACAGCAGTTGTGTCTATAGATCTTTAATAATATTTATAATATATGTATAATTTATGGGGAAAAATGAAAATCATTCTTTGAATTAGCTCATAGATATTGGATTGAAACTAAGACAGACATTCTGTGGATTTGATGATTCTTCTTTAACTTAAAATTTCTCTCGTTAAGTTTAATCTTCTTAATTCCTTGGTTAATTTGCAGTCTCAATAATTTAGATATTTTAAATATAATATTTTATTTTCTTCGTGTAGAACTCTTTAATTAAGAATCAATCATATCCTCTTTAATAGCATCAATTCTATATGAATTAATAGGGCTAGGACTAGAAATACCTTATTGTTTCAAATAGTAATTTTCTGTTTTATTAGTGGGTGTATATCTAAATATAAATGTTTTTATTACCTTTTCACTATTAAAATCCTTTCAGCTTTTCGAAAGAGAAATTCTTTTACTTTTGCCCATCTTTCTTCAATTTTCTTTCGTCTCTATTATTTTGTAATTAGCAACCCTTTTAAATTAGGAAATCTATTGATTATATATCGGCATATTTTGGTAATAAATATTCTGGCATTCTAAACAATTGTTATCAATTTAAATTATTTATGTAATAGAAGAACATTTAATGCATATATTTTAATTATTGGTAGTTTAGCATTTTTAGCAATTTTAAGGACATTCATTAATACCATTATCATTTTTAAGAATAAAACTATTATGAAAATCTAAACAAATTAATTCTAATATATCTTAGAATATTTAAAATAATGAATTTAAATATTATTTTAATCCACCTTGTTAATAAAAATGAATTAAAGTGATCAAGATTCTGTCTGAATTACATTAATTAAAAGCACAATTTTTACATCTTGATGGACATGCCATACAAGTTTCAAAGAATAAATCAATATAATA